TATATATATATATGTGTGTGTGTGTGTATGTATGTGTGTGTGTGTGTGTGTGTGTAATTGTCTCGTCGCATGTTTAGTACCGACCTGGTGGATTCTGCTGACTTGACCCTGGATGCTATAATCTTCTGCACCGGTTCGACTTGTCCCCTCATGTCCCGGCATGTCCAAACAAACCACGTGCACGTCTCTGGGGAGGTACTGGAGGGGAAAACAAACACACTAAAGTTTTAAGGTTTGGGTGATTTCTGACACGTAATTATTTAACAAAAACTAAACCAGAACCCAGAGGCTGTGAGTGAAATCCTGCATCCAGCCTCGCTGCCTCCAGAGGATTTAAGATCAACTGATCATCATCTGTGGGACCACCTCTACGAGAGCGTACAGGTGCGTTAACACAACGCCAAGGCAGAAAGACAACAGCAATGACCTCAGAGAAGCAGCTGTTGCTGCCCGTCAATCTGAGAAGGGTCAAAGGTCATTTAGAGTCCATGTTCTACTGAGAGAAAGATTATTCACAAGTGGAAAACATATAAGACGTCTTCCCACAGATTCACCCTGAAGGTCAGACTGTGCAGTGCTCAGAGAAATGAGCTCCATCTCAGACTCTACAGGCCTCAGTCAGCAGGTCAAAGGTCATGACCTCTTCCGTGGCAATATGACTTAGAACCCAAAGGGTTCTGGAGTCCAACAGCTGATGCTTGGACCAAACTGGGTCCATCAGGACCATGATCCCAAACACAGCAGCTGATCTACAACAGAACGTGTCAATAAAAACAGAACCAAGGTGCCGTAACGGTCCAGAGTCCAGAACCTGAACCTGACTGAGACTCTGTGGATCTTCAGAGAGCTGAGCAGAACCCTCAATGAACTGAAGCAATGATGCAAAGAAGAGTGGGCCAGGACTCCTCCAGAACCACAAGAGACTGATAAAGTCCTACAGAGAACCACAGCGTTGCGCTGCTGAAGATGGTCCAACAAGCTGCTGGGTCAGGGACAGAACCAGGTTTTCATACACAGATTCTGCATTTTGGTTTAGTTTTGATAAAATACAGAGTTCCCCGTTCCCTCCTCGTGTGTTCGTGATCAAATCTGAGCGTTTACGTTGACGACGGGCAGCCACATGTCCTTGGTGGCAGAGAAACCGTGCAGCAGCAGCAGTGATGGCGTGGTGCCCCCCGGGGCCCCCCGGCTGGAATAACAGAAGCGATAACTTCTGCTGTGGGAGTAGCGGACCACCAGTCCCAGCCTCCAGCGCCAGTACCTGAGGAGGAATTCAGCAGGAGACAACTGATCATCTTCTACATCAGCAGAAGGTCTTTTACAAGTTTTATTTGGACTTTGGCAGCTTTTCCACCCAGGTTCAGTTTTTCTACCTGAACATTGACAGAAAACTCTCACCTGTCAATCATTTGAATCAACCTGCACAAATGGGAGTGATGAAACAGCTTCCAGTTGTCTCCATCTTTTTACCCATCTATCTTTTTGTTTGTGCCGTTTTATCTCCCCGTTTCTGCTGCGCCCCGACAACAATCTGCAGCAAACATCAGCAGGCGTCTCGCTTTCTGTCTTTTTCTTATTCTCAGATTTGTCTCGTTGATCTTAATTAGTCGTGGGAACAAAGAAGTAGAGGAAACGGTTTGATGCAGTGAAGAGTTGACATTACAGAGTATTTGATCTCCCTTACGTTGGTAAAACTCGTTATAGCTTTTACAAGGAGTAAACCTGTCGCGATAAACAATAAATCAATAAATCGCTTGATAAATGAAAATGATCAACTCATTTTCATTTATCAGCTTTATCGTGTCTTCGTGTCTCTCTTTCTACTGAAGACACTGGATGACAACAGGCTCAACTCCGGTGCTCTTCACCGACCCCTCCCTTTCTCTTTAAAATCTGTTTTAACGTCCAAAATCGTGTTTTTGGATCGCTAAAAGCAACGAAGCTGAGAAGCTAAGCTACGAGCTAAGCTAACAGGCCGACCTCCGGAAAAAATCCTCCGTCTTGTCAAAGCTCCAAAAGTCACGGTTGAAACTCGTGCCTTCGTGCAAAAAGTTTTTCCTCTGCAAAAAGATGCTGAGAACTTGTTTACTGATTTTTTAAATTAAAAGCTTTGTTTGAAAAATGCTACACTAAAGAGCTCAAACCACACCGAGCGTCCGCCGTTTTGAGAACTGAAAAAAAGGAGAGATAGACAACCCATGTCACGTCAAGAGGCCTCCCTTATATTTATTACAGAGACACGCTACTCGCTCCCTCACTATCCATCCTTCGGTTCAAACAGTCTTATACTGCCATCCAGTGGTCAAAAAAAGGTGCTACACTCAAAACAAATTAACCAGCATTTTTTCTTAAATATGACAATAATTACTAATTATTGTCAAATGTCAAACAATATTATTGTTTATCGCAATAATTTCTGAGACAATTAATCGCCCAGCAACATTTGTTATCGTGACAGGCCTAATACCGAGTGTGTGTTGAGTGTGTGCTGCTGTTGTTCGGTGTATTGTTTTGTACTATTAGTGCTTAGTGTATTCTTAGTTTAGCCTATTTCTGAGTTCATGTCAGCTCTTATTACTGTTTTTATTTTACATTTTATTGTTGGCTGTAACTGGGACCCTGTGTGCACAAGTTCGTTCCACCACGTCGTTAGAATGACAAATAAAGAAACTTTGACTTTGATAAAAGTGGGTATTTAAGGTGTTTATTACGCTTATAAATAAATGCGTTGTGCTTTCTGAATCCTGTCAGGTCCATTGCAGCTGGACACGGATCTGAAGGCCTCGTTAAACTTTTATAATCCAAGGTGTAGAAACAGAATCAGAAAATCTCCCAGACATCTGATCAAACTGCAGCTCAACTCTGCACAAACCGATTCAACACAAGGATTTAACCATCATCCGTCCGCGTCACCTGTTAAAGTTTAGCGTTTGCTATTGGCATTATTTAACCAGAACTTATCCTGAACGTTCCTTGATCTGTTTATTTCATGTTTTATTCAGCCGAGCTGCTTAAACAAGCTCTTAGGTGACGGTGCTGAGTCACGGTGGTGCAACGAGCCCGTCCACTGCGTTCCTTTATTAAGTGATCTCAAAGTCCAGCCCAGGCCAAACGTTTACTTCACCAGTAATCTGCGGAAGCCACCGAGTTCAGTTAGAAACCGTTAAAGGTTTGCAACATTTTCATTAAGTCAGACCTTCAACACCTTTGCCACGATTCGCCCGTTACTGCTTCTTTTTCGTCACTCACATCTCGTCCTGCAGCTTTCTGAAAATTCAAAACGAGAACCACCGAAACAAACCACGGGATGACCGAGTGTTCAAATCCAGCTCGGTCTTCAGAGCAGAACCATCATTCAGGGTTCAAACGGGTCACAGGATGTTGGGCTTGAACTGCTTTAACACTTTGTACACGATCACAGCTGAACACGGAGGAGTTTACTGGTTTTACCAAAGAACGGTCGACTCAGCCCGATGATGTCTCAAACTTTTGAGACCTATGATGTTTTCAAATGTTTGGCAAAAGAAAAAAAAACCTCTCACTTCCACAGGTGTTACACGTTCTTGGGGATAATAAAATTATTGAACTTCCACAATTTATACACAAAAAGTCAACATTGTGACATAAACAAGCCAAAGTCCAAAGAAAAACTTAGAAAGAACTCCTGAACGTCTCGTGATGAAAACTATTGACTTGTTCCTCAGGTCACAGAGAACAAATGAAAGATTCAAACATAAAGGAGGAATCGAAGCAGTGTGTTGTGTTCAGGTTCTTTACCAGTTGTAGGCCTTCAGGAGCGCTCCGGGCCAAAACAGCAAGGAAGTAACGAAGGCGAACACAGGAAACGCCACAATCCCTCCTGTTAGCATCACGACTTTATCCACAGTCAGCTCCATCTCTGCAGACTCCTTTAAAACACAAAACACAGGATTTATCTTTTAACTCTCGAACTAAATGTTTCCTTATCAAACCACAAAGTGCTCCTCTGCATCGAAAGGAGTGAGTCGAGGTGGTTCTTGTTGGTTTTCCCACTGGAAAGAGACCCCAGGGCAGACCCAGAACTTCCTGGAGGGGTTATATGTCTCTGGTCCTTGGGGTCCTCCAGGAGGAGCAGGACGTGTGAGGACAAACCCTGCGCACTATCATCAAACAAAGCTGTGAACAGTAAAAACTGTTTGAACAAAGTGTTCATTTTCAAAAAGCAAAAACTGTTGCGGACTGCAGATCGTGAAGCTGCTTCTGAGGCGTCTCTAACGGCTCTGGAAGGGACAGGAACTAGCTGTGTCACTGGTACTGTGGCGGGTCAGAATGACAGAAATCAGACCTGCTGACGGGCTCAACGTGCAAGAACCAGTGCTCAAAGTGTGGACAAACTCAGCCCTGGATGAGCCGTGGACTGGTGGAACCAAAGGTTCCTAGTTCTTGGATCTTGCCAGTTCCTGTGAAAAGTCTTTACAACCGTTCGGTCTCAATGCCCCAAACTATCAGGACTATCAAAAAATGTTCTTGGCGTCCAAACCCAAACCCCCTGCACCTGGATCCAGGAACTCTTTTGCCCCACCTGGAGTGTGGTTCCTGTGGTTCAAAGGTCAGAACATCTGGGACTGTGTGGTGCTCAGGATTATAAAACATGTCAGCAGATGAGAAAACTGAAGACAGCCGACTGGATCAGAAGCAGACACTTCAGAACCGGCTGGTCTTCCGGGTCTCAAAAAGCAGAAGAAGCTGAGCTGAAACGTTCAAGGGTTTAAAACCAGAAACAAGCGAAACTTCGCTGTGGTCCGTGAAGGTGTCACTTCATTCTCACCTGAAGAATGAAGTGACACCTTCACCTCAGTGTTTGACACCGCGTGACTCATCTCACAGTTAATAACGTTTCACTAACACATTTCACAAGTTATAACGTTTCACACGTTTAATAAGACAAACATAAAGTCTGTCACATCAAAACAGTCCCGTCAGAGTAACATGTTAACAAGCACCTGTTCAGCAGAGACACCGCACCTGTCCGCCACCTCCTGTCCTCCATTCAAAGCGCTCCTCCTCCTCCTCCTCCTCCTTTTACCCAAATTACACAACATCTTTGATCCGTGCTGCGTTCATGGGCCGTCGGACATATGAAGACGGCCCTTTGACGTCAGAGGTGAGTCTCCACACGAGGGCGCCACAACCTCGAGATGTTTCAGATCAAACTAAAGAAGTTTGGAGTACGTGAATGGCTGTTTGTCTCGTTTGTCTTCGTGTGTCCCTGTGATGGACTCACGACCTGTCCAGAGTGGTCCACAGAGGACAGTGGCGTTTCTGTGTCCACAAACGTCTTCTTCTGTCCAATGGATGAAACTGAAGTCACGTGGTAAGTAATATTTATTAAATAGTACCGCTCACAGGTAAAAATCACAAAATCCTCTACAGAAATGTCAAAATACAATAAAACAAGACACATGTATCAACATTTTTATTTTATTAAACCTTTATTTAACCAGATAAAAACCCAGTGAGATCTTTCACAAGGATGACCTGGACACGTGACGTCATAAAACAAAACAAGTAGCAAGATTATGAAGACTTCAGAAATATATAAAAATATAAAACATACAGTATAACAGTAAATGGCAATAATTATTTAAAACAATAACAATTTAAGATCTAAAATACAGGCACTGTTGACAAGATATCCTTTGTTGGTTTTTTAAAAGTTTGCAAAAATCACTCAAATAACAAGTTCTGTCAGTTTTAATTCAACTTGCAAGGCGTTCCAAGCTGGGGGGCAGAAAAGATAAAAGCTTTCGTGCCCTTTTCTGTTCCACACGAGGAACATGAAGATGCAAATAGTCCTTGGAGCGTAAGGCAGAACCACTGTCCATTCTTCGTATAAAAGTACATAAATAATGTGGAAACAGACCAATAAGAGACTTGTACACCAAAGTCATCCAATGCACATGTCGTCTGTTAAACAGGGAGGACATACTGGTTTTAAGATGGAGATCACAGTGATGATTAAGGTAGCTCCAACCAGTAATAAATCTTCATGCACAGTGGGTACACTGGATTCAATGACTGTAGACAACTGCTTGAATCACACACATATAAACATCTCCATAGTCAAGTACTGGCAAAAAAGTAGCCGTGATCAAAGCTTCCTTGCTCTAAGGGAGAAACATGATTTGTTTCTAAAGAAGAACCCGAGCTTCACCCTTAATTTGGAGATTAGGTGTTTCACACGAGATTTAAAAGAAAGCTCCTCGTCAATAATTAAGCCCAGGTATTTATGACAGGAGACCCTCTCGAGAACTTTACCTTGGGCAGTTTTTATTAGAGGGATATTCTCCAATGGGACAGATAAATGTGAAAAAAAAAACCCAACAACAACAACACTATTTTAGATCTATCAGCATTTAAGACCAATTTTAGTTGCTCAAGACGAATCTGCACCTCATCAAAAACAGCCTGTAAGAATTCAAGTGCCTGATCAACTGAATTTGAACAACAGAAAATTACACAATCATCAGCATTAAAGTGGTAGGAGGCATTTTGCATATTTTCACACAGTGCAATAATGTAAATTGTAAATAAGATGGGCCCCAAGACAGAGCCCTGGGGTACGTCTTTTTTTTTTTTTACTTTAAGAAAACTTGAGCTTACTCCAGCCATCTGTACACACTGTATCCTATTTGCCAAATAATCTCCAAACCAGTAAGATGCTTCTTTTGGAGATGCCCAGTTTGAGAAGAATATTTACCAGGGTAGTGTGGTCCACCGTATCAAATGCCTTGGATAAGTCAATAAACAATCAAATGCCTTGGATAAATCAATAAACAATCAAATG